TTCCCCGTTGTCCTCTAGCCGGTGTGTCTCCTGACGCCGTTCTGGACTCTCACACTGAAGTCCCAGACCCGAAGCCCCATGAAAGGACCTGGGTGGGTAGGTGTGGGTGGGTAGTCACGGGTCAGGGTGTAGACAAGGAGCACTCAAGGAATGGAGTTGAAGGAGGCTGGGTTTTCCCAAGGTCATGTCCCTTATTGGACCATGGAGGGGGAGCAGGAGTGAGCCCTGGAGCAGGGTAGCTGCAGGACCTCCCTGTAGCCACTTCTTTTTCTGGGGAGCAGCAGCAGACATGCCAGATGGAGCGGAGTGGGGGAGCCCCGGGAAGGGGCAGCAAGATGGAGAGGTCAGTGGCGAAGCCTCCTGGACACTGCAGAGGGTCTCGAGGACTCCGCCTCGGCCAGGCCGGGCCTCACCTACCTAACCCCATCCCACACCAGGCGCCACGGTTCCACTCTGCAGGGCAGGAGCAGTGCCCTGCCTCTGCCCGTCCCCTGCACCCCAGCACCGAGGCTCCTGGCTGTCTTTGAGACTTGGGGCCCAGGTGCAGGCAGGACTCCTCCATAGATGCCCCCGGAGAACAAGTAAAGTAAGTAAAGCATGTGCGAGCCAGGCAAGCGTTGGGCCGTTGGGCCGTGGCTGCTGCCCCTACCCTTGGGACAGGTCTCTCCCGCCTGCACCTGGGACCAGCCCCAGGGCTGCCCCTGTACCCACCTGGGACGTGGTGAATCACTTTCACCTGCCTGTGGGCCAAGTGCATCTATAACTGGAGGGCGTTTGCCTTCCGGCCTGGGCCTGAGAGGAGGAAGAGCTGCAAGGAGGCAGAGCGGGGTTGGGAGGTGGGGGTGAGTCGGTCTCCTCCTCCCGGAAACAGGCTGCTGTTTTGTGCGGGCTCCAGCCTCGGGCCCTAAGGAAGCTGGCGTGGAAGGCTGGCCCACCCTGGCTCCATCCTCTCCTGAGCTGGGCCTGGCCTCAAGAGGCTTCCCGAGCTCTCCCCACAGTGTCCGCAGCTTCCCGTTGTGTCTGGGTGTAGCCAAGGGCTGCTGAGGGGAGCGAGAGGCTCCCTGTACCCCCTGCTCCCATTTTCACCTGGAAGAACCAACCCCCCACCCCCACAAACTGCCCTGGCACGGCAGCACCCCCAGCCAGGTAAGTCAGGATTGCTGGGCGGCGGGGTGGGCAGGGGCTTTGCGTGAAGCTCTGGGTGCTTCTGGCTCAGGCCACAGGGCTAACCCCGGGGAGGCACACTCTCCTCCCACAGGCAAACACTCTCCAAGGCGCCAGGCTGGGGCTGGAACTCGTGCTATGTTTTCGCGGGGCGTGGGGCGTAGGTGCTGATGAGTGGACCTTGCTTGGAGCCCAGCTGCTTTCAGAGAGGATCGAGAACCCCCGAGAACGGGCGGTTTCCGGCTCTGGACTGCCCACGAGTTCCTGGTGGTGTTGCTGTCCTGGTCTGGCACCGCACAGGCCTGAGAGTGTCCGTGCAGAGTTGGGCTCTCTGAGACCTCTGGGGTCCTGCATGTCTAGAACAATCGGCACTTGTGTGTCCTGGGCAGCCCTGTGGGGTGCCGAGTGGGCATGTCTGTGGGAGTTGGCTCCTCCGGGGTGGGGAGGGGAGAGCATGTCTCGTGTACAGCACTTTCCGCAAGTGCCCGTTGCATCCTCCCAGCAAGTCTCAGACGTAGCACACCCTGTGCCCATTCCATGGGTAGGGAAATGAAGGCTCTGAGAGGTTGAGGATCCTGACAGAGCTCCGAGTGGCCAGGCCAAGCTCAGGGTCAGGTCTCCTGGGCTGCTTTCGCGGCCATCCTGGCACTGCCACATCTCGCTGTGTGATCCGGGCCGGTTACTTCATCCCTCTGTGCCTTGTCCTCCTCTGCAGCATGTGGAGAATAATGGGTTTTGTGAGGGTTCTTATGAGGATTAACGAGATGATTCGGTGCTAGCATTGGTGTCATTGACGGCTTGTGGACATACTCAGTCTGGGCTTTCTTATTATGATAGAGCTTTTGCTGTGACTCCCCTGCCCAAGACAGGAGCCCAGATCCTGGGGACGCCACTCGGAGGGGTACTTCCTTGAGAAGGGGGCTGGTCGGGGACAATGGACACACAGGAGTATGGCCACGGATGGCAGTTCCTGCTCTGCTGGGAAGGGAGAGGAGGACGCCATGTGCAAGAACAGAGGGGGCCAGGTGGGGCGGCCAGCGGAAATGCTGGGCAGGTAGAGGGCTTGGCAGGGGTTGTCCTCATCCCCACTCAATGGCTGTGGAAATTGAGGTGGGTTAGACTTGGCCAGCGGCAAGGAGCTGGCTGTTGCAGAGTGGGATTCAAACCTGAGGGTGCTCTCTTTGCCCACTTGGTGCTGCACCTGGAGACCCCTCAGTGCTCATGGCTGGGGTGGGGGCTCTGTTAGGGGCTGAGTGGCCCCCGGGACCCCTGAGCTCAGGGAGAGAGGAGTACATGTAGGCAGGGAGCATCCCCGGTTGGCCCCTGGGCAGGGGAGATGCAGGGGTGGACCCTACAGCTCCCTGCTGTCTGAGTGGGTTCCAGACCCTTGCTTCAAAGCCTGCCTTCTCAGGGGACCCGTGGTGGTGGCTGTGGCTCCATCCACAGGCCCAGCCCTGGGCTTCAGACTCTCTAAAGTGGCTTTATAAAAAGGGCTGATTTCCAAACTCAGCCTCTTTGCAGTAAAGAAAACGAAGTTATTTTAAAAATGACAAAATGAATGTACCATTTAGGCAAGTTACCAAATAGCTTACAAATGTGTAGAATGGAAAGTGAAAGTTTCCTTCTCCAGCTCCCTTGCAGTAAACTCTATAACTGGTCTGTGGTGGTGGATGGCCACGTGTTTCTGTGCGTTTATGTAAACTCATGTTGATGTCATTGAAAAATGGGCAATCCAGGATCTCACGCAGTTGGGAAGTTCAGTTATGGGGTCCTGAGCCCAGCTGCTGAAGGAAGGGCCACCACCCCAAGCCAAAGGGATGGGCCTTTCCTGATAGCTCCTTCTGTGGCTTGCTGGTCTGGTCTTATCTGGTCTGGGTGTGGGTGGGGTGCCCTGGAGGACTGAGACCCCCGTGAGGCTGAGGATCCTTGGGAGAGGAGCATGGTGAGGACTCCTGGGCCATGGGCAGGGGGCTGCCTAAGACACATGGATTTGGGCAGCCTCAGGAGCCCCCCCAGATGGCTTGCTAAGACAGATCAAGGACCGGGCCTGCGTTTCTGACTTGGCGGGTCTGGGGCAGGGCCTGAGAATGTGCATTCCGATGTGTGTTGAGGGGTGTGTTCTGTGAGTCTGAAGCCATGTCCCTAGGTGGGGCAGCTGAGCCTAGGGACCAAGAGCATTTCAATCCCTCAGGCTTTCCTTGAGCTCTTACTCTCTTTCCAGAAGATTTTTTGGGAACTCTAAGGCACCCTTCAGGTGTTTGGCCTTAGCCTACGTTATTTGGGCCGAGTGCCCTTTTTCCCATGTGAAGCTTGGCTGATGGGCTGGAGGCTGGGAGTCGGATCTCATTGTGTGGACCTTGGAGCGCACTGGCCCTGGGCTGTATCATGACAAAAATAATCATGACTACCGTTTGCTCACACATTGGCTCAGAAGCTTGCCCCGGTTTGGGTCAGAAAGCAGGCCAGGGCTGGAGAAGCAGCAGCAGCAGCAGCAGCAGTGAGCGCTGGGAAGCCCATGGAGGGTGTATGGGGAGGCAGCCTCCAGCTGCCTGGAGAGGAGGGGGCCGGGCGGTGGGCCTGCTGGCTGGTGTTCATCAGACATGGGAGCCAGCACAGGAAGGTGCCTGTTCGTCCACTCTTGCTCTCTACGCGGGGTGAGGGTGGGACAAGCCAGTAGCACAGGCCGCTCAGCTGCAGGAGGGAGAGAACTCATGGGGCACCAGCTTTAGAGGCCTCGTGGCCAGTGTGCCTCACTGATCCCCACGCAGCAACTCCCAGGCACAGCTGCCCTGGGCAATGGGAAACTGAGGCCCAAGAGGGCTGCAGACTCTCCTAGGCCTCAGGAAGTCTTCCCCTAGAGGCTCTATTGCAATGGGAGGTGGGCATCCTCATCCTCCTGGTCATGCCAGGCCACTGTGGGTGGCCCCAGCATGGGGGGCCACTGAGCAACCCCCAGGCAGTTTGACACATATGTCTAATAGGGGTTTCAAATTCAGCATGTCGAAAAGCAAGTTCCAGGTCTTTCCCCAGAACCTGCCCTCATGTTCTTCCCCATGCTGGTCAGTCACTCAGGCCCAAGGCCATCCTTCACAGCATCCAGTGTCAACCCTGCTCTCCTCCTCTGCTACCACCTGACCTGAGCAGTCTCTTCCTGGAATATGGCAAAACCCACCAATTGGTTTTCAGATCCCTCCCTCACTGGGTCTCCACATAACAGATATAGTGACCTTCCCCCTGAGTCAGTTCGTTGTTGTGCTCAGAGTCGCCCTGTGTCCTGTTTCACTCAGAGGAAGAGCACATGGCCCCCTAGTCTCCGGTTGTGCATAGTCTGGTTTGTTTCTCCTCAGACTGTTCTCCCTACTTCTTCCCTTCAACATACACTGGCCTCAGGGCCTTGGCACCTACTATCCCTTTTGCCTAGAATGTTCCTTTCTTATTGTAGGATGCTGCATGACTAACACCATCAGTCTAATGGTACCTAACCTGAGACTGCCTTGACCACCCCTACATTGCTTCATGTTCTCCTCTGTAGTTTCTCTTCTTCCACTAGAATATAACCCCAGGAAGCAGCGTTCTGTGTGTCTAGGCTCTAGCAGTGAGGCCTGGTATGCACAGAGCAGGTGTTGGAGAAACATTTATCAGACCAATGGCTGGAGGGCTGCCAAAGAGCCTGTCTGCCCACCCGAGCTGAACTCTATTATCCACCCTTGGGTGGGGTGCCCCTCCTGGCCCTGCTGGGGCTTGCACTGTGCCCCTGCACACACTTAGGATGCAGACTGACCTGGGAGGAGGAGGGCCTGGTGGCTGGGCCTGTGATACCTTTTTCTTTTTCCCAGGAAACTATGCCCCAGACATCTGTCGTCTTCTCCAGCATACTTGGGCCCAGCTGTAGTGGACAGGTGCAACCCGGCATGGGGGAGCGAGGAATTGGGGCCAGCAGCTCAGGGGACCTTGTTTTCCAAGAAGGACGCCTCATCTCTGGATCCCTGGAGGCCTTGATGGAGCACCTGGTCCCCACAGTGGACTATTACCCGGATGTGAGTGTCTAGGCCCTGGAGGTGGGTGGGACTGCTGGGGGGCCACCAAGGTTCTAGGAGAGGTTGCTTCTGGGATGGGGAGGGAGCCCCAGACAGAGCAGGGGAGGGGCAGGCGTCAGGGATCCTCAGCCCCCCTGCCCCTAGCCTAGGGGAGAGGAACCTGCAGTGACTTCCCTGCTGAACCCGGGCAGCTGGGAGAGGGCTTTGATGGCACAAGGAAGCAGATACATAAGGGGGTGGGACAGGGACCTGAACTCTGGACAGGGTCCTCAGGTAGGAAGAGGAATCTCAGGGATAAGGCTGGTTATCTTGGGATCCTGTTAAGAGTCCGTACAGCATGTGTCCTGTCCCTGAGCTGGGAAGTTTGTTTTGTGCAAGAACTGCCATAGTCCAGAAAGAGGGGAGACAGCCCTGCCATGCCTGGCCAGCATGCTGACCCCAAAGCACATGCGTGCATGGGTAGGACTGACCTTCAGCAGCAACTCAAATCCTCCCTCTTCATTTCAATATGTCATCGGTACATTCTTAGAACAGAGAGAAAGAGTTCTCTTTGTGTCTTCCCTTTTGCCTCAGACAGGGGGCATCTCTTAGCAGCAGTGGTGTTGGGCCTGCCTGCTCCCTTTGGAGGGTCAAGCTGCAAAGGCTGCCTGCCGCCTCCCTCCTGAGGGCAGAACTGTGCTCACTGGCCTTGGCAAGTCAGACACTGTTGCCTGGGAGGTTGGGGAGGGAGTGTCCCCCCTCCACTCTCCAGCTTGTATCTAATGGTGCTGGAGCCAACTCTGCTTCCAGGTGTTCCTGTCCCACGCCCCCAACATGTTACGCCTCCTACCTCTCTCCAGGGTTTCTGTCCACTCCATCCTACTTGAAAACCCTCCCAGAGCTAGACGGGGCTGGTATTGGTGGTGCAGACCTGGCAGCTGAGGGCCAGGTGGCAGGGCCAGGAGAGAGGTCTTGAGGCCCTGAAGAAGCCTGGGGCAGCGTACCAACCTCCCAGGGGCTGGCCCCTCCAACCCCAGCTCTGCTGTCACCCAAACACTCTGTCCCAGGGTGACAGCCTGCTTCCCAGGAGACTGTAAAGGGGCGGTGGAGCAAAAGGGTAGGGCTGGGGAGCCCGGCGGGGTGCCAGCTCGTCTGCCAAGTTCCTGGATTTCCCCTAGCCTTCCCCGGCTGCCTCTGCCCCATGTATGTGTGCAGCTGGGAATGCGAGCACGCCAGCAGATCTGTGTGCTCCTCGGAAATGCAGGGCTTCTCCCTGTGTGCCCTTCTTGCCTTGGCTAAGAACTCCCAGGTGTGATGTTTGGGTGACTATCATCACACCTCTGAGCCATCTGTTTGGGAGGGGGCCACTGACGAGCTGGGATCTCTGAGCTCCCACACCGCACAGCCTGGGGACAGGACATGCGATGTGTTGTGTATAGGGGGGAGGTTAGAGGAACCTCTGCTGTTCCCAGGAGAGTTTTCTCCAGCGGCCTTTGAAGGCTGCATGAGGGCCCGAGGTTCTGAGTCCTGAGTCTTGTTCCACAAGACCTGTGCTCTCAGCAAACATGGCCCAGCCTGCTTTGGACTGTCATGAAGAAGACCTGCCCCTTTGGGCCCAGAGTGGGGGTGAAGGGTGGCAGGCCCCCCAGCCTGCAGCAGCCATGTAGGGGTAGAATCCCCAGGAGAGTTCCAAGAAGCTTCTCTCCTCCCAAGTCCAACCTGTCTGTAGGCCGGGCCGATATGGAGCCCCAGCTCACAGGTACTGACTGGTGTCAGACAAAATGCTTCAGAAAACCCTGGGCCCTGCTCCCTTTTAGTTCAGATCATGAGGACCCCTCAGAACGTGTATTACATGGCCCAGTGACAAGGGCACAGGATGTGGAACTGAGAAGCCTTGGTGTGCCAGGGGGAGATAAGGTCCACAGTTCGGTTAGTGACTGCTTGTAGCAGTCCCCTATTGCTGGGTACCGGCTCCAAGATGTCCCACCCTTCCCCCGACTGGCAAGGTCAGTGACAATCTGGAGAATGCACGCTTGGATCCTGGCCCTGGGAGCAGTGTGGACTGGGCTATAGGCTCACACAGTTGGGAGAATCCCACCAACATCCAAGCTTGGGTGTTCTCTCCCATCGTGGGGTAAGACAGAGGGTCGGGGAAAATCTTAGAGCAGGGCTGCTGGGGGCTGAGCTTGTCAGGGGAAGCCTCCAGGAAGTGGGATTTGATCTGTGCCTTGCCAGGGTTGGGGTTGGGGGCGGGGCAGGACTTGGGTAGCAGTGAGAGAAAAGGAAGGGGATTCAAGGTGCTGTGAACTATGCAGGGGAAGGCGTGGCTGCAGGCTGGTGCTGCTGGGCCTGGGCGGTGGCGGGACAGGCTCTGACCATACTTGGGTGGCGGGGGGGTGGGTCACACCAGGCCTGACCTAGTCTTCATTCTCTCTCCTTGTCTCTTTTCTTTAGAGGACATACATCTTTACATTTCTCTTGAGCTCCCGGGTCTTCATCCCTCCTCATGACCTGCTGGCCCGTGTGGGGCAGATCTGTCTGGAGCAGAGGCAACAGCTGGAGACAGGGTCTGAGAAGGTAAGGGTGCTGATGGGGGCTACCTGTCTCTGTGCCCCCAGCTCCCACCTTGCTCATACTTGGGAGAGAAGCATGTTTGGAGCCAGCTGGCAGGACAGGTCTGGCTGAGCCCAGCCAAGGGCCTTCCCGATCTGGGCAAGGTTGGCTTTTGTCTGGCCCCCTTGGCATCCCTTGGCACCCCAGGGCTTGGCTCACCATGGGGCATAGGGAGCACACAGAGCCAAGCACTCTTCATGGGATGCTGAAAGTAACTGTACCTGGGGGGCACGCACACCTCTTTCCAGGAAAGGGCCATAGCCAACAGCGTGCCAGGAATCCTGGTCAGCGTTGGGCCTCCCCCAGCTGGTAGAAAAGCCACGCTCTGTGGGTGGGTGTCAGTTGGTAGCACTCTCAGGCTGACTCCTGCTCACAGTGGTTTTCAATGACTTCAATAGGGCTCTTTGCCCCTGTTGTCTCTTCTGACTGAGGCAGGCTTTGGGTGGCCAGGATAGCTGAGGCATGTGCTTCAGATGAGGCTTTTAGAAGCCCAGTCTGGTGCAGGAGACGGGGTGGTAGGCGTGCAGCCCAAGAACCGGCAGGGCCAAGTCTGGCCTGCAGCAGAGCACATCCTGCCCCCGTTTGCTGATGACTTTGTCCTCTACCTTCCCTCCACCAGGCCAGGCCTCCTGTCCCTGTGGGTTTGCAGCACAGGCCTCTGAACTGTCTCCTCATTAGAGGAGGCCATCCCAGGGTGCAAAAAGACAGGCACTGATCCCACAGGATTAGGAAAGGCTCCTGGAGAGACGGGTGGAAATACGGCCAAGCGGGGTGGGCGGGGAGAGGAAATTATAGGCGGAAGATCAGTGTGGGGACAGTAGAAGCGTGAGAGGAGCCTGGGGTGAGCCTGCCAGTTCATGGTGACACGCACTGCAGGGCCACTGAGTTCAAGGCTCTAGCTCCTGAGTGAGGTGTGCTGTGGTCATCTGGGGGAAGTGTCCTCAAGGCCTCCTGGATGCCACAAGCACTGGGCTCTGGAGAGGAGGACTGGCTGCAGGGAGTGAGGCAGCCAGCTGGGAGGGGCTCTGGAGGGCATGAGACGCCATTGCTAGGGAACCAGGTGGGTATGTGGCCAGGATCAGGCAGGCTGGATGCAGCTCAGCAGGGGTGGGGCAGATGTGGGCAAAAAGATGTGGGGGATGAGTTGCTAGAGGCCCACAGGGCCGCAAGAACCATCCAGGTCGGGCAAGTACAGGCAGGCAGGGAGCTGGTCAGTGCTGAGGAGGAACCATGGTGGGCACAGAAGGGGTGTGGGCACATGTGGTCATTTCAGTGGGACAGTGTGGGGCTGGGCACTGAGGACCAGCTGGGACAGCCCCAAGCCTTTGGGACACCCCCCTCGGGCCTTACATGTGTGGACCCAGGGCAACAGCAGGAGGCCCACCCATCTTTAATGACATCTAGTGAGGAGAGAGATGCCTCAGAGTGTCTACGCCCCTTCCTAGGACTTGTTAACCTGCTTTTAACTGAGAGGGGACAGGCGAGAGACTCTCGTTTTTAATAATTTTACTTGGTTCTTGTTGTTTTAAATGGGTAACTTCTAATTATAGCAAAGGAAACTAGTTTACCATGTCATGGAGAAAGGACAAGTTTTTTTGAAAATGGATTTATTTAAGTGAAAGAGAGCTGAACTAAGGGGAATATGAAACAGCAGTTATAAGAAAACCATAGGTGGACAGGGTGGGGGATGCCCTGCCTAACAACCTCACCCCAATGCGGGGGAGGGCAGGTCCTGCAGGCGGTAATTGGGGGTGGGGGAGATGGGGAGGTTTGTATCACTTGTCATCTTCTTGCCTGCTCTGGGAGGTGACTTTACTCTATGCCCCGCTGCCCCAGGCCAAGCTGAAGTCCTTCTCAGCCAAGATTGTACAGCTGTTAAAGGAGTGGACAGAGGCTTTCCCCTATGACTTCCAGGATGAGAAGGCCATGGCCGAACTGAAGGCCATCACCCACCGGGTCACACAATGTGATGAGGTGAGGTCTTTCTTGGACTCTGGCAGATCTTCTTGGGTATATGATTGGGGGAGGGGGTTTACCCTCACAGAAGGGTGGGTCTTCAGGGACAGCTCTGTATGTGGTCTTCTGTGCTGTCACAGTTCCAAGATGACTGCTGGGTGGCTCTATTTGTGTCCGTCTTCACAAGATGTTCTGGGTTTGGGGTGAGTGCAGTGGGAACCTAGTAAGAGGTTCTAAGAGCCTGTCTGCATTTCTGGCCCCCAGCTCACTCCTGGCCTTCTGTGGAGACAGGAAACCTGGGAGGTGCTCTCTGTGCTCAGCAGCTTCTGTCTGGCTGGAGGGCTTGGAAAGCCCAAGGGAGAACTCTGGGCACAGCCAGGGCTGCTCCCGCCCAGGGATGAAAGGTTCCTAGTCATAGAGGAAGCTCTTCCAGATGCTCTCTTCCCTGCTGTGCCCCCCCCCACCCCCTCTGCTGTGGGAAGGCCAAAAGTAGTAGCTCAGGTGGACGCCCCTGGGAAAGCCATGGCTTTCAGACCCAGAGGCCCACCCCACAGGCTAGGCGGCTGAGCCACCCTCCAGGATAAGAGGAGCTCATGCTGTATTTCATTCTGTCCTGAAAGGCCCAAATGCTCATGGCAGGTTTGAGTAGGGACGTGGGTTCAAAGTTAGGCATATCAGGGTGCCTGGGTGGCTCAGCAGGAGAAGCATCAGTCTTTGGCGCAGGTCATGATCCCAGGGTCCTGGGATGGAGCCTCACATTGGGTTCCCTGCCCAGCGGGAAGCCTGCTTCTCCCTCTCCCACTCCCTGTTCTCTCTCTCTCTGTGTCTCTGTCAAATAAATGGATAAAATCTTTAAAAAAAATCTTAAAAAAAAAGTTAGGTGTATCCTTAGAGAGGAGATGGGTTCCTTGGGAGAGATGGTGGTCTTCCCAGCCCACACCAGCACCTTCACTGTCCCCTCCCCCCACAGGAGAATGGCACAGTGAAGAAGGCCATTGCCCAAATGACACAGAGCCTGCTGCTGTCCCTGGCTGCCCGAAACCAGCTTCAGGAGCTGCGGGAGAAGCTCCGCTCACCAGCCATGGACAAAGGGTCTGTCCTCAAGGCTAAGCCGCCAGCCACTCAGAAGGACATCCTGGGCGTGTGCTGTGACCCTCTGGTGCTGGCCCAGCAGCTGACTCACATTGAGCTGGTCAGTGCTGCAGTGGGGCCCTGCCTGGGGTGGGGGTGTATTCACCAATGCTCACTCAAGGCCCCTGGACTCCCCCCAGCATCTTCTTGAAAACAGTGCTGCAGGGCCTCCACTGCTGGTCAGACTGGGGTGTTGGGTGAAGTTGACTTGCTAGGTCCAACCACTGCTTCTGGGTCCCCAGGATCCCAGCAACCCTGTACAGGGGCCCCAGGGTGGAGGACTGGCCCAGGAGGTGAAGGGATTGTTGGGGGAGAACCAGTTTCCCCCAACCTCTCCCCTCCTCTTGCCTATGCCGTGGGCTGGGAAGGTACCCTGTACCTTTCAGCCACTGCCCCAAGGCTTCCGCCTCACTCACATGAAGCCCTGTTTCCTCCCCTCTCAGGGCAGTGTCTTTCAGACCCCCGTGTGTGTGTGTGTGGGGGGGGTACATTTGGTGGGGAGAGGCAGGCAGGGCCTACCCACTGGCTGGGTGCCGTGATCAAGGAGGGCCGTGGCACACACCTGCAAGGTCCTGACTGCTCCTCTGAACGTGGCCTATACCTTGACTGTGGGGCCTGCCCAAGAATGGCAGGCTTGTCACTCTCCTGTGCTGTCTCCTTGCCCATCCTAGGAGAGGGTCAGCAGCATTCATCCTGAGGACCTGATGCAGATTGTCAGCCACATGGACTCTCGGGACAAGCACAGGGTGAGGGGCTGCTGTGGGCTCCGGGGTGGCCTTAGGGTGGGCCTGGTACCTGTATATACCCCATGCAGGGAAGGGCAGTCTCACAACCAAGTGGATATGGGTCTGGCCTGGTGTCTGCCCCAGGGAGTCAGCAGACAGCAATGCAGGGTGATACACATTAGAAGGGGGCCACTGTTCCCAGGAGCCCGAGGAGGGGGGCATCCTGGGAGACCTGGACCTGTCCAGTTGTCCACACCCCACCGTCACCTTCTGTCTCTTTTGGCCATGGCTCCTGCTCATTTCTGGGGGGTACGACTAGGGCAGCACCTGCTGGCAGGGTCCTCAGGCTCCCTGTGACCTGCTGTGTTCCTCCAGTGCCGAGGGGACCTGACCAAGACCTATAGCCTGGAGGCCTATGACAACTGGTTCAACTGCCTTAGCATGCTAGTGGCCACCGAGGTGTGCCGGGTAAGCGCTGCATGGCCCCTGTGGGTGGGGTGGCACTGTTACTTCTCCGAACCCACGGGGCTGCCTGAGGCTCTGACTTCTGTATCCCTCAGATGATGAAAGTGGAGACCGAAGCCTCCATTGCCAGGCCCACCAACATCCCTGTTACCCCGTCCCCAACCCCCCCACCCCCCGGCCACTCTCACAGTGATTGTGAGACAGCCGTCCATGGAGTGCACCAGCATGGTCTTTGAGTTCATCTGGGGCCCCCCTATCCTCTCGAACTGCTTTCCTGCCCCTCTGCCCAACATCGAAAATGCCACAGCTGCATTCCTACCTCTGCAGCTCACGAGCACCTCCCCAGCCCTGGGTTGGGAGAGCTCTGAGGGTCCAGAGTAGCTCCTCTCCAGGCTGCCATTCAGGGGCGGGTGGTGGAGGGGACGCTCCTGTGGTGCGCTCACCCTGAGGCTGTCTGGCTGCTCTCAAGGTGGTGAAGAAGAAGCACCGGACCCGCATGCTAGAGTTCTTTATTGATGTGGCCCGGGAGTGCTTCAACATCGGGAATTTCAACTCCATGATGGCCATCATCTGTGAGTGTCCAGGCCCCAGGGGCTTCCTGTCCAGCTTCTGCATGGCCTGCCTACCCCCGCCCTGACCCTACCTGCTGTTCCCTGCAGCTGGCATGAACCTCAGTCCTGTGGCGAGGCTGAAGAAAACGTGGTCCAAAGTCAAGACAGCCAAGTTTGACGTCTTAGAGGTAGGCACCTCAGCCTCATCCTGCATTGGCCTGCAGAGGGGTGGACCTACATCATGCTCTGCCCCCTTGCTCAGAACCCACTGAGCACAGTGCCATCTGGTGTAGGGGGGCATGTTGAGCTGGCCTGGCTGCTCTAGGAGGTAGGTAGCTGAAGCCCTCCTTGGCCCTTGGGACTTCAGTCAGCACTGGCATGGCCTAAAGCAAGTTCTGGAGAGTGTTTAGGAAATAGTTTGACAAAAGTGGGCCCATGAGCCCTGTGCTGGGTGATGTTAAGTTGACTGGCCTTTTCCTGGCTTGAATTACTATGGTCCTGGATCATCTGGGTGGCCCAAGAGTAGATAGGCAGGTTCACTTATAGCCTTCCCCGATTTCTGATCACAGAAGCCACTTTCTGTAAATGTCTCGTGGAAGTTGTCAGCTTTGGGAGGTGCTGGTCCAAGTAGAGGGACAAAGCAAGGTTTTGAAAGAAAGAAGGTGAGACTCAGGCTCAGAAGGGCAGGGGAGAGGTAGGGAAGAGTGGGTATATGCGTGTGTTCGTGTGTGTGTGAACTGTGAGACTTCTCTAAAATTCTCCTGCTGATGCTTAGACTCAAACCCTGGACTGAGCCAGGTGCCCACTCCTAGAAAAGGGGCCTCTTCTGATGACCATCCAGGGCTGCCCAGTGGGGAAGGGCCTTCCCATCACTGTTTTCCACTCTGCAAAGGAGCATTCTCAGCAAGTCACAGAGGCAGGGAGAACACTGCCCACTCGGTCTTCCTGTCTGCCCACAGCACCACATGGACCCCTCCAGCAACTTCTGCAACTACCGTACCGCCCTGCAGGGGGCCACGCAAAGGTCCCAGATGGCCAATAGCAGCCGGGAGAAGATTGTTATCCCTGTGTTCAACCTTTTTGTTAAGGACATTTACTTCTTGCACAAAATCCATACCAACCACCTTCCCAACGGGCATGTTAACTTCAAGGTGAGCTCAGCCCCCTTGTGATCCTCAGGCGCGGGGGGGGGCCAGACTGTCCCACCACAAGGCAGGACAGACCCCTCAGTCTTATCCTAAGGCAGGCAGAATTTGTCCCACTAGAGCTGCAAGGCAGTGGTGCTATCAAAGAAAGGCCTTTAGGACTGAAAGCTCCAGGGTGGGTTGTGTGTGCTGTTTGTGAGGGACAAGGGTGTCCCTAATCCTTCTGGGAGGATGATCTGGTAATAAGGCTTGGAGCCACAGGGAATTTGTATTTACCCAGGACCCTGGTCCCAATCCTGAGCTCAACAGGGAGACAGAGAAGGGGCTACTCCTGAGGGTTTGGGAGTGAGGAAAGCATTAGGCAAGAAGGGACATGAGCAGGGCTCCTTGGAGGTAGCAGATTTCCAGAGCAGGGAGGAGGTAGCAGATTTCCAGATGGAAGCTAAGGGTAGATGGCCAAGGGCAGAAAGCAGGACAAAAGTGATTGGGGAGGTGTAGGGGAAGTGGGGTTGTCCAGTGTTTATCTCACATAGGTAAGGGGTTGGAAGGGGTTAAGGATCCCTACACGGCCCCAAGGAGTGAGAGCATGGCATATTCTGGTTGGTGGTGCTCTTGCTGGGTGTGGCTGGCATATCTGCCTCAGCCTGGAGTTCCACATGGGGCCTTCTCAGGTCTTGCACAAGGGAGGCACAGACCCTGCAGCAGCCTGATGACCTAGGCGGAGGGAAGGACAGAGTGGTCTTGGGGTCACTTACTGGCTGATGTTGCATCAGGTGCTGCAGTGGCCACAAAGTCAGCTGAGTAGGGTCACTGTCCCATCTTCCTGGGATGCAGAATGAAACCAAAACCTATATCCCTTGCCCTAACGAAGGACTTCACGCTTAAGGTGACCTTTGAACATCTAGTTGGTCTTCTGTATCTTCAGAAATTTTGGGAGATCTCCAGACAGATCCATGAATTCATGACATGGACTCAGGTTGAGTGTCCCTTCGAGAAAGACAAGAAGATTCAGAATTACCTGCTCACGGCACCCATCTACAGCGAGGAAGGTGAGGCCCAGTGCTCTGTGGCAGCACACCCACCTCTCCACATGGTACATGTCACTCTGACTCCCCCACATCCTGAGCCTCTGCCCTCAGGCGGTTGCCCTGGGAAGCAGGCCTGATCACAGTCCTTATGCAACACAGGGGAAGCTCAGCCCATAGGGGTGAGTATATGAGGGTGGGCTGTGGGTGGACAACAGGATGAGGACAAGGAGAGATGGGGCTCTGGAAGCCACCCGAGAGAGCCACAACAGGGTTAGGTTCATGCTACAGAACCAGGAAATTTCTCAGCTCCTAAGCAGGAAGCTGGCAGCTCTGATGGGGCCTGGAACTCCAGGCAATAGAGACCTATGATAAGGCTCGGACCTGAGGTCACAGTCTCTTCCTGGGCCCAGCTGCTCCCCTAGAAAGGAAGGGATAACTGGTGTGGTAGGCAGACTGACTGCATGTGGACATGGGTTCTGAGGGGCTTTTCATCTCTCAGCTCTCTTCATCGCCTCCTTTGAAAGTGAAGGTCCTGAAAACCACATGGAAAAAGATAGCTGGAAGACTCTCAGGTAAGAGAGCCCCAGGGATAGGCCTGTGAGCCCTTGAAACCAGTACCATGCCTGGGTCTACATGAAGGGAGAGGACTGGGGAGCATGATGGACATGCCCTTCTGAAAGGCAGCCAGGGGTAACTCCACACAGGCTGCCAGTTGGTGGGAGGCTGAGGGCTTGGGTCTCAGTGTTCCTGACCTTTCCCCTGATGACTGGTTCTTAGAATCCAGGCCCTCCCCAAGTAGCATGGCCTGCCCTCTGCCTGATCAGGGGAAGGGCCTGCCAACTGCCTCACCATTTCCTTGTGCCCTGCCTACCTCTAGGACCACTCTCCTTAACAGAGCCTGAAGGCATGGATGCAGCCTGCAGACGATGGAGGAAGCACACACAGGCACTGAGTTTGAATCTTGATCGATAAGGGTTGAGATGAGGAGGCCTCACTGGTTGGGGTCCATTTTGTATATAACTTTTATGAAAAAAAAATTATTTCATGCATCAACCTTTGGCACTTACAAGGTTTTCTTTCTTCTTCTTTTTTTTTTTTGTCATTTATTTTAAAATAACAGGGCAGGGCCCTGATTCGGGAGGGGTGGGAAAGAGTATCATGGGAGATGGCATCCATGATAACATCTTATTCTAATGAAATGTAGATTTTTATTTTCTACTTTTGATTATTAACATCGTATGAAAAAATATTAAAAAAAAAAAAAACCCAACCAAAACCAATGTGAGCCCTGCCTGCTTGGACGCCCTTCCAGCCAGTGTCTCTGATGTCGGGGTTAGTGCCTTAGAGAGTACTGGAGGGCCGGTCTCCCACTCCATTCTTTTAGCCCTCAGGCAGCCAGTGCCGGGGAAATGCCAGGAAAGCTCTGCCCTGGGTGACAAGGCACCCGCTCTCAAAGCCTAGGCCAGAGAGGTTCCAGCAGGAAGGGCTTGGCTGGCCAGGGGGCTTCATTTGCATACTTCTAGAAGCAAACCTTGAGCACAGGCTTTCCAAAGTTTACATTTTCATTTTCCTTTATCAGGGATTTAGGGGGTTGGGGAGGGGCAGGGTGATACCGGGCAGCACATTTTCTGTTGGAATATGTCTGGCAAATTGTTCAACTACATTTTAGGAAAAGAGAAAATCTAAAATAATATCGGGGAGGGTGTGATGGAATTGTCTGTTTTCCAGGCTGTGACAGGTACACTGAGCTGTAATGAAGAGAATACAAAGTAGACTTGAAGGATGGGGACATTTAAAGCAGTTCTTCAAAGTCCAGTATAAAGTGAAAAGAAACAACTCACAAATTGGTATTCTAGTGGACTGCCCTCTCCGTTCCTCTAGGTCAAGGGGCTCCTCTAAGGGAATCTGAAACAGAAAATTAGACCACACTGCTGGAGCCCACTCCCATAAAACTGCCCAGCATTTGGAGGTATTTTTCACACCCAAACTTGAGGAGTACACTCCATTTTCTGTCTTTATGGCTGTGGGACGGCAAGTCCTGGTCCCTTAAAAGCCAGAGGTGGGCCATCCCCTCTGACTCTCTCTCCCTCCCTCACAATGGGGCTTTCACTCTGCACAGGCAGATTTGGAGCTACGCACCCTTACTGCTCTCCGCATGCCTGGCTTCCTCCCACAGGAGCCTGAAGCTGAGATGCTTGAGTGAGGATGGGGCAGTTAGCTGCTAATTCCCAAAGCTCCTAGGAGAGCCTAGAGATGTGGTGAGGCCTCAGGAAGGGGTGCCTCCGCGATCCACTGCTGATGGCGCCCTCAGCCCTGGGTGGAGTAAGAATATTTACACTGTATTGTCACAGTGTTTTCGCACTTTTCTGACATTCTAGATAGTACATATTGTATCTTGATAGTACATATTGCTTTATGTATTTGAGACAAAGGCTAAAAACTCGAGAATATATATTTGGAATACAATGTTAGAACACTTTCCATCTTGCGTTAAGGAGCTTTCATGTCAATGTGCGCTCCACTGGGTCATCAGTTCTAGTACCTACCTGATACAGTGTCTGTGTTTGCTACTTTATTTTCCCAGTTTGATACACACCCTATGATGTTTTGGTATTATGAGATGAACTCTGAGTACAAAGCTGTACCATAACACAGGATGTCAGTTGTTGGTGTGACTGGACCTACTTGCATCAATAAAAGAATATGTTGCTCCCCTTGCCTGCCTGCTCTCTGTGCGTAGCTGGCGAGGCCATCAGGAGGTGGCAGGAGGTGTGGGGATGTCTAGGTCCTCCATGGCCTTTCAAGGAATGAGCAAGGAATTCTCATCTACACAACACATTCTGACAAAGGGCTTTTCAAATAAATAATGCAAAATAAGACAAAGCATACAAGACGCATGTTCTAGTCTGCTTTCCTCAAACTGAGATCCAAAAGTGTATCACAAGCTGATTGTATCACATGGCCCTGTAAATTGGGAAATTTAACCTAAATAAGATTGTAAAGGCTCCTTTACTGCAGGACTGATCAGAACTGTCAGTGCCCATGGGCACTGGGTCTCTCCTGGGGCAAGGGAAGTTGGGAGACACCTCTGGACATCTTTCTGCAGAACAGTCTGCAGAATGCAGTTCTAGATGGTGCTTTCTGTTGTGCTGAGTCACATTCAAGAACACTAATGAAAGGAATTTGTGGAAAGGCACACATCAGTCTGTGGAATTGAAGGAAGAGAACGGAGACATTAGACTGCAAGGCAAACCCTTACCCGTTCCTCTCCAGCCTGTCCCACAGCCACTCTGTCAACAATGCTCAGGCTGCATGAGCTCTACTCTACAGCTCATGAACCTCACCCTGCTCCCTTAGAGCTAACTCAGTGCATCTGTAAATGCGGTCAGTGTCCGTTATACCCACTGGACCAGCACTACCCATCAGAAAACTCTGTGCTGGAGTGCTCTGTATCTGCACTGCTGCTGGTAACATACAGGTACTGAGCACTGAAGTGTGAAATGTGAAAATGCAACCGAGGAACGGGATTTCTAATTTTATTTAGGGTAAATAGCTAGTGGCCACCTTACTGGACAGAAGGTTAGGCTGGTGGAGCTTTGTCACCTGCTGCCCTTCCAGTGGCTTGTGGAGCGGACAGCACACAAAAGGTGCTTAGGTGTTTATGGAGCAAAAGAGACATCTATGAGGATGCCTAAATGGGTTTTGGGTAAATGATAACATTTTTTAAGTCTTTATAATTCAATGGAATTCTTAGTTTCCTGGTAAATTTATTTTTGAAAGTTTCTACCTACCTCAGCTGAAGAAGGCGCAGCCCATCATTTGGTGTGTGCCTTTGCCATGGAGCTTGGGCTGGGAGTGGGTGCTGAGCTCACCAGGCTAGCTATGGTGCTGACCTTCACCTGTGGGCGAGTCCCTCCAAGGCAGTGCTTCTCAAGTCATGGCTATTGGACAGCAGTGTCAGCAGCGCTGGAAACTTGCTCGAACTCTTCTTGGGGCCCCACTGCAGGCTCGCTAAAAGGGAAACATGGGGGTGGGAAATTACCACGTTTTCGAAGCTCTCCTGCTGATCCTCATAGCTCACTTCTCCCAGGTGCAGTCAGCTTCGCAGGCACACTGCACCTCCTCTAAAACACTGTGGTCCTGCCCACATGCACATTCTTCCAGAGTCTCCTTACAGCTTCCCTGGTGAACAGTGCTCTGTGCTCTGGGCCCTACCTGTTCTCTCACGTCATACCACTGGCATCTGTCTTACCCTTACTCTTGGCTTTCTGTGTACGAGCCACTTGTGTAGCTGTGTGGCCAGCAACTAGCATGGTGTGCAGCTCCTAACACCACCATATGATGACTGAATGCTACCTTTCACTTCACACAGACATTTCAGGAACAAAAATCTATGTTGCAGTTTCAGCTATGACAGGAAATAAGCTAAGGATCTCTCCTAAGGCCATAGAGACTTATAGGACAAAACTAGATTATTTGTGAAATATATACCACTACACCTGTACATAAAGTATGTGTCATGTTCTCCAGGGAGGCAAGACAGGATAAGCTTAAGAGCAAAGGAATCTGAAGCTGAACTATTTGGATTTGAGTCCTAGTTTCCTGTTCCAAGCTGGGTATCCTGGGAAATGTTTACCCTTTAAAGCCTCCATTTTCTCATAACTAAAAGGAAGTTACAATACTCTCTGTTTCATGGGGTTGTTGTAACGATACATGGCAGAAAGTGCAGTACCTGGTTCATCAGAAGCAGTCAGTGTTAGCTGGGAATTAGCAGCGGCACCCCTGATAAGATTGAACCCCACTTCTCCTGCAGAAAGCAGAATCTCCTGGGAAAAGTGAAACAAAGAATTATAACTGATTTTCTCAAAGGAACAACTGAAGTCCTGGTCAATACAAATACAGTCCAACATTACCAATGAGCCACTTAAAGTGTTAAATTTAACAGGTATATAAACATATATGGAAAAAATTCCCACAAATTTGGGATTCAAACTACTTTCTAAATGAAAAATCTACTACCCACATATAGGCTAGCAACCTTATATCATACCAACACAATTTCTCTTTTTATTCCCAGAAAGTAAGTCATGATACTGTGAAGAAGGTGAAGGGCTGCCATCCCTACTTGCCCAATTATCTATCATAATATACCTTAAACTTAGGTATGGATCTTCAGCAACAATGTTGAGGAAACAGTGTTGTCAGGAATATAAGAAAATTGGACACCTGGCTGGCTCAGCTGGTGGAGCATGTGACTCTTGGTCTTGGGATTCTGAGTTTGAGCCCCATAGTGGGTGCAGAAATTACTTAAAAATAAAATCTTAAAAAAATGTATGAGAAAGTTAGGCAACTATTTCTGGCAGCATTAGACTAAGCGCTTGCCTGTGGAAATCAGCTGCTAAGGTTACGCAAAATGTAAATATCCAAGCAAAACCCCAGAGAGGTTGAAGGAAACTCTGAAGCCAGCTTTTGCCTTGAGGGCAAGGATTATGAGCTTCCATTTTCAAGTCTACACGGGGATAGAGAAGAAAGTTCAGGGCATATTCAAGAAGAGGGGTCAAATAGGAGGTCCCAGCCCATAAAGCTGACATCCTAAAGAATGACCCTTCACCATAACAGCGAACTTGCAATAAAATGCTTCTCCCCCAAACCCATTAAAGGGATTAAAGAAAACTGCCTGTTTTGAACCTTGGCACTGAATGGAGGTTGGGAAATTTTACCAGTGATAATTTGTAGCCACAAGTCAGTGAATTTCATTAAGTTTTGCAGCAAACATCACATTGGTCAAAAAAACGTTAAGTTGAAAATCTAGTTTAATGTGGCTCTGAACTATGGGTACTATCTCTAAGTTAGCCAGCAAAGGCAAACATTCTGAAATTCTAGTTTAAAAAGTCTCTCCTTATTAGATGTGTCTGTTTAATCCACCTGTTGGATTTTTTAAAATTCATTTTCATTTCTTGAAGAACCAAATAAAGGCTCTTCCCCAAATTCGTTTGGTTATAATTCTGAAGAAATTACCAGAATGTAACACAGTGGGAAAAGACTGGAAAATATGAAATGGGTTGAGAAACAAAGGACATGGTGGACACAACAACAGGTCTAACATGTTCTCAGAGCTTTTGAAAGAAAAAATGATAGAGACAATCAAAATATAATAGCTGAAAATCTTTCAAAATTGATAAAAGAATAATCCAAGGAACCCAAAGAATCTCAAGCAGGATTAGAAGAAAAGAAAAAAAACAAAAACCCC